TGGATTTTGGCAGCTGACTGTTCCAATCCAATCGTGTGCTTGGTCTTTCTCGTGTCCAGTCCCCTGGTGGGACCAACACACAAACACACACACACAGACACACACACTTGCATTTCAGTTACCTCATTAGCATAACAAAGACACTCCTACCACTCAGGACATTCCAAGGTTTTTAAAGTTCTGTGGCAGGAACCTGGGACAAAGACCAGATATATATTTTTTTATTATACCACGGCTCCCAATGACCAAAGCTGGAACAATTTAAGCACAAAATTAATTGCATAACATTGAATTATAACACAAAGTATAAAATAGGCATAAATGAGTTCATGCTGATAGGAATACATAATTGAACTAATAACTACAGGAGAGAGAAGAGACATAGCTTTCACACAGAAGAATAGCAAATAATGTATATGGTTACTTAGCCCTCCAGTGGGTGGAGCTTAATTCAACACCCCATCTTGACCCCAAACATGCACCACACAGCATAGTAACTTTACAGTGGAGAAGCCTGGTAACCACTCTCTTAACTAACTGATCAAGGTTAACGTCACCTGAGATAACGAAAGTCAATTGCATGAAACCTCTGATAGCATATGCTGTAGTGAGATGTGATATTTCTCTCAAAAATCTATCAACCCAGTCTATCCATGAGAAAAACATCACAAATTTAACTTTAGGGACATTCTAAAATGGGTCAAACCGGTGTTCCTCAAACTTGTCATGAAAAACAAGGAAAGACTGAAAAAACATCAAAGAGCAGAAGTGACTGGGCGACAAGATGACTGAATAGAATGTGATTTCTCGGATTGGGTCCTGAAAGAGAAAAATGACTGTTGTAAAATGGGTGAAATGTAACTAAATTCTGGAGATTAGTAAATAGCAATGTACTGCCAACCTACAAAAACAGAAAGCAGTTAAAGAGGCAGTGTTTATCTGGGATCAAAGAATTGCCATTGGAGGAGCACAGATTCAGGTAGAAACGCAAAGTGTCCCAATTACAGAAAGAGGGCTCAGGGTTTTTATGGGCAAAAGGGACACAGATGAAGTAAGTTGTATTAAAGAAGAGTTCATTGGTGCTAGATGAGGTAAGGCTAGGTTTGTACTTCATAGATTAACTTGAGATTTTGTCATCAGGCCAAAGGGTAGGCTTGTACTTCCTTGATTGGTTGGTGACTCGGTCATCAGCCAAGTCCAATTTCATCAGTCCTTACAAACAGGATATTCTTGTCCTTACTGACTTCTTGGAACGTTGGCGGTTCGGTCCAGTTTGGAAGATAAGACAAGATGTGCAAGGTGATTCCTCTGAAATGGCTGCCATGGCTCTCCTTTAATATGGCTGCCCCCATGTCATCTTTCACAGTACCAACACTGGTTTCTTAGTTTTGAAAATGTACCATGGTAAAGTTAAAATGTTAACATTTCAGGTACTGGGTGAGGGATATTTGGGAACGTTCTGTGTTATCTTTGCAAATCTTCTGCAGATTTAAAGGCATTTCAAAATAAAACGTTTACTTTTAAAAATTGCAAACGTTTATTTTTTCATAACAGAATTATATTAAAATATTTCTACGTTTGAGTAAACATCCTGTTTTTTTTCTTTCGAAGGTGTCCATTTTCCTTCCTTGGTGATTTCAAAAGCAATAAAACTCTTATTAAACAAAATATGTTCATGTCTTTCAGCTCCAAATTGCTACTCATCTAGTGCTCCAAGCTTCGTGAAAGTTCCTCCACAAACTTGCATCCTCAAGTTGGAAATGCAGAAGTCCATCCTGAGACCTCTTTCTTGGCAATGTAGCCAAATGCCACAAGATTTAACAGAATAATCTACCTTCTAAACATCCCCCAAATCCATTCAATCTTTTCCCATATACCAATTCTCTGTTCACTTGCTGCATCCCACCTGCACCCTTTTTAAAATTCAGCTGACATATCTTCCTGCATTCTTTGTCCCCCGCAGTTTACTCTTCAAATGTATACCTGAAAATATTTTAATATGCTAATCTTCACCATAAACATTATCACATTTCAAATGCCCACAATTCCTCTTAGGATGTAAGGCACAATAGTCACAATCCAGCCTCCGAGGCCTGCAATAACTAAAACGTAATTTTCCCTCCAGTTTTGCCCTAGGCCATTTGTATCACAAATTGGGGCCATTGTCCCCACCCTCAATTTCTTGAAAAACTATCCACATGCTATTCCTTTTTATGCAACTTTCCTTACAATTCCAAGCTCAGGTACCTCTTGGAAAAATTTAATATCTCAGATTGAAAGTTACACATTCCAAGACATTTCCAGTATCTTTACATTATTTCAGGACTGTTTTATGAAATCTAACTTTTCCACTGCAAGCATTAATAAAAATAAAACTATATAAGTACATACATATTAATTACATGAGATTTCATTTACCATAACTATTGTTATTTACTATTTCATATTAGGCCAGTGTCAATTGGTCTTGTTCACCTTTTTCTCTGTAATGAAAATGGTTCATAATTGTTAAGGTTCTTGGAAGTCTGAGGGCATCAATGACTGAACATGGTGCAAGACAAACCATTTATATTTTTCTAATGAGATGAGGACATTGTGCATTTCTTCCACAGCAGACACAGTAGAGCCTGGATATGCTGGAGTCACGGCTCTTGAGAACAAAAAGGCTAATAGCTGGAAAACATGCAGTAATTAGTACAGCAATGTTCACCAGCCACCAGCTGGAATTATTAGAGAGCCAAATAAACATAAATGATGGAGCAGAGGGCATAAAATGATAGGAAGATGGTCCCCAAAACGAGGATGCTTTGGGTGGCTTTGGTCTCAAGGGAGGATATACGGGAGAGGCTGTTTCTACAAATGCATTGGACTTGCTGCTTCTGCCTGTACAGAATGAAAACCATGGAGATGCTGGCCCAGGTCATGAGTCCCAAACACAAATCATCATGGAAAGACGTCAATGCTGTACATACTGAGTCTACAACCTTGTCATGCAGTGGAGCAAGACAATATCCAAAATCACTCTCTGTAATGTTTTTGTTGCTCCATTTACCAGTCATATAAATAGGAAAAAAACATATTTAACAGCATGCGGAGCACCCAGCACAGGATATTGGAGGGGTCAATGTACTTTGGGGCTTTTACTTGAAGCTCTGCCCACCTGGAGTTCCCAGGGCTGACCGTAATGGCCTGGAAGACACTCAGGAGACAGCTGGTACCAATGGACACACCCCTGGCTACTATATGAACATATGAAAGAACTTTGTATCCAGAATTATTGGCAAAATGTTACAACTCCAAAGCTGCCATTGTCTCTGGGATTCCTCTAGAGAGAATGACCAAGGAATTGGCTGCAGACAGGTGTCTGAGAATCAAATCTGAGGATCTTGGCTTGCATCCCCCAAAGTAAAGGGACATATAATGATATAAGGGTGAGAAATTCCACAGGATTCCAACGACTACCTGGAGTAGGAAGATGGTTCCTATTTTCCAGTCCATAGAGACCATTCTGTCATTTTCTAAGGCTCAATATTCAAATCCACAAGCAGAGGGTTCTGAATGGAAACAAGAGTTCTGGGCTACATTTTCATGGAAAATAAAATCTCCTGCCCTCTTTGAATTAATATATAAAGTATATTTTCTTTTGTTAAGAAATTTCCCATATTTCCTTTGATAGCACTTATGCTGTTTGGTCACTTTTGTTAATGTTTTACTTATTCCAACTTATTTCACATTCACAACTCTGTGAGTTAGGAACTAATATTACTCTCCTTTTACAGACTAGGAGACTTTAACCAAAGAGAGCTAAAGTGACTCATCTAAATAGCACTGGGTAGGCTGGTTGCAATGACAGGCGTGTTTACTACTGTACTGTATTATTACAGTTACCTAGTTCTGCTCTAAACACATATATATATCTTGTCATATTTTAAATTTATATTACTTTATAAACTTGGTTTGATAATGTCCCATTTTTGTCTAAATATTTGTTCTTTAGACTAACATAACTTAGGGGTGAAGATTCAGAGGTCTTAATAAATTATAGATGCACTAAATAATTATACATGACCCAATTTGATTTATTTAATGTGGATAAATGTTAGGACGGCAACAGAAAAACTCCGTCCATTTTCCACCTGGACCAAAAATACAATGGCACTCATTACAGAAATTATTATACAAAATTGGACTGCGCACTAAAATGGGGGACACAAAACATACATGCAATAAGCACTTTAGGGCAGAAAATAAGTTAATCTTATTTAAAGATAATATATATTTAGTATTTTAGAAAAAACTAACTGGAACTTGAATTAATATTTGATTCGGGAAAGCTATTAAAAGACAATAGCAATAAGCAAACTGGAATTTGAAGGCATGGAATTTTTTTCTGATGAAATTATATTTTAAATTAATTTTTAAAAAATGTTTTGCATTCTGAAATCCTCTATTGTGACGTTAACATTTTTTAAAGGACCTTCCCTAATTTCACGAAGGAAAATAGTCTCTCCATGATCAGCAGACCACAGATATTCCCAGCCTAATTTCACGAAGGAAAATAGGCTTTCCATGATCAGCAGACCACAGATATTCCCAGTAGAGAAACATTTACTGTCTCCATTAAGCACATCACACCCGAATGACAGAAAAATAATTATATTTCAGCAATTGCCATTCAGTCACACTGTTTCTATTGAGAATTAGATCATTCCATTAGTTCCATGATACTCATTATCACATGTACACAGCTTTTACAGACATCATGACCCTGATCCTGAAGATGTCTCTGTGGCTTTTGCACACCGTATTGAGTAGTAGATTAACTCTGAAATTATAATCTTGAAGCATCTTAAAATTCAGACTTTGATAGCACTTGGATCAAACACCACAAACCCCATAAACGAAGATTTTATTAATCACATTAGCAGCAGCAGCCATGGGTTGTTTTAGAGTCTCAGACCTCCCGTCTCTCTCCACATGCTCGCCCCATGCCTCAGGAAGTATTCCTCCTTCCTGTACAGTTTTGCCACTGGATCGCATTTCCAGACACGCACACCTACCTAGATTCCTGATACTGCTCCTAACCTTCCCACTTCTCTCAGACTGAAATAGAAAATACTCACGGACTTCTTCCTGCTGCCAGGACTGAGAGCTCAGTGTAAGGATCATAACAGGCCAAGTGTGTGCGAGGGAGGAAGCCAGATCCTGAGATGCGGGGTAGTGATTCTGTGACCTCATTCCCACAAAGAACTGAAAAAAATATATTTTACCAACATTGACTTCAGCAGAGATAGCAACACTAAAGAGACCAATATCCATAGAGGAAAGGGAGGCATTTATAAGAGTCCCTCACAAATAAAAGCACCACGAACAGATTAGCAGGCAGATTCTTCCACTCTTTTAAATAGCACATAAGCCAATGTTATTTACTCAATTTAAGAGCATTAAAAGTAAATTTTCCAAATGATTTACAGGAACCAAAATACTGATACTAAAATGTCCCAAAAGTTGTACCAAAACAGAATACTACAGAAAGATCTCACATCTGCCTACAGATGGCAAAATCTAAAATAAAAATACAGCAAAAAACTGAAAAATACTAGAATACAAAAGTAATATATAATGACCAAGTAAACTCCATATCTGAAAATCAAGAATAAGTCAAAACTTGGAAATCCATTAATATAGTTCACCATATTTATAAGGAGAAATGAGGGGATCCTATTCATAGTTAAAAAAACATCTATTTGGAAGAATTCAATATGTATGGATGTTAAATTAAAACACTCAAAATTAGGAATTGATGCATCTTTCCTAACTTGAAAAACAAAGCCTTCATCTTGCTCATGGGGAACACTAGAGACATTCCACTAAGGTCAGAAAACCACACCAAGAAAGCATATGATCTCCTGTTGTATTCAGTTATCATTGTGTTGGAGGTTTAGCCAGAGCAACTGAAAACGGCATGAGAATTGGAAACAAAGAAGTAAAACTATGTTTGTAGATGATACACTTATACACCTGGAAACACAAATGAATTGACAGAAAATCTACTACAAAAAAATTCATTAAGCTCATAGAACATAATATTCATTTACAAAAACAATAGCTTTCATATATATAAATAACAATCATTTACATACATAAAAACAATTTACATATATAAACAATTTACATATATAAAAACAATCATTTACAAGTTACAGTGGGAGGGGTTGCAATTACAAAAGCATAAAATATAGTGACATAAACTAACCAGGAATAAATCTAACCAAAATATGTAAATCCTATGTGAGGAAAATTATAAAACATTCCTGAAATATATGAAAGTAGCTATAAATAAATGGAAATTCCCATCATGTTTTGGGTAGAAAAACTCAATATTATTTTAAAAAGTCAATTCTCCTTAAGCTAATTTGTAAATTTAATTTGATCCTGATACGGACACCACCAGTTAGTTTTAGGAACTAGCAATGTTATTGCAAAAATCTTATACAATAATGAACAAATAATAGCTACAAAAACTCTTATTTGTTTTTTTTAAGATTGGCACCTGAACTAACAACTGTTGCCAATCTTCTTCTCTTTTTCTTAAAAGATTGGCACCTGAGCTAACAACTATTGCCAATCTTCTTTTTTTTTCCTGCTTTTTCTCCCCAAATCCCCCAAGTACATAGTTATATATTTTAGTTGTGGGTCCTTCTAGTTGTGGCATGTGGGATGCTGCCTCAACGTGGCCTAATGAGCAGTGCCATGTCTGCACCCAGGATCTGAGCCTGGGAAAGGCTGGGCTGCCGAAGCAGAGCGAGGGAACTTAATCACTCGGCCACGGGGCTGGCCCAAAAACTCTTAAAAAGACACAAAATGAGTGTGGCTGTCCCCACGAGAGATGTTTATTCACGAATATACTGATGGATGAGTGAAGGTAAAAATTCGGAAATATGCCAAAGCTCATAAGAAAAGTTAATAAGCAGCAAAAACTACAGCGGAGATAACATTAATACTTGATCTTTGGGAAACGGAAATTCCTATCAAAATGACAATAAAATCGTCTTATTTATTGTCCTATAGCATCATAGTAAGTAAAAAAACAAGAGAGACAGAAATCTTCATGGTAAAAATAATTAAAATAGGGTTGAATTCCTTCCTAAGGCTGATTCTCAAGCACCTGACTGTAGTCAACTTCCTACTCGTTGCCTCTAAAGGCGTCCCTCCGATAATGACGTGTTTGGGGTTGAAAAATTTCCTCATTGATTTTTGATGCAAACTTGTTGTGTATGGAATACACAACTCCCTGAAACGATAATAAGACAGATGTAAATTTTTGTTTCTTTAAACAACGTGCAGTCATTTCCTCACTCATTCCTGACAGAGATTTAAGCGCTAGGATGAGCAGTCACATAACAGAGAGGCTGTGAAAAACAGACTGAGTCTGCGTTCACAGAATTCACAACGTAGTAGGCACAGTAGGTACTAAACTAAATACTATGTAGAATGTAATAAAATTTCCATTATATTCAATGTTGCAAAGGAGAAGTTTAGAGTCTAAGAATTCATTTAAAATTGGGATGTCTAGCACCTTGGAGTTACTAGACACTTACATGATCATGTAACTTCGAACTTGATTAATTAAAATTTCTCTGGAATCAACTGGGCAGAGAAGTGTGAGAAGAATTTAGTAAATGGAAAAGCCTGTGTGATGATCAGTGAACATGAGAAGGAAAAATAACGGCTCTGTAGCAAGTGGTCCTGGATGGAGGTGGAGATAAAGAATATATATCACACATGCAGGACACAGGAGATAAAGTTTTGTGTCTTTACCTCAAATCCTGAGAGGAAAGGTAATCAGCTGAAATATATGCTAGTTTGGGGTGAAGGGGAGCATATTTAAAATACTTCTTGGTTAAATGGACGGAAGGATCTGGTTGGGGAGAAACGTGCACTCCTGCTCCCACTTAATTAAATAAATTGTGGTAACTGTCCTGGGTCTCAGACTTTCCAGGATCAACCACCGCCTGCAACCCCCGTCCCCACCTCCAGGTGCCAGCGCTCCCGCCGCCTCACTCTTAGGACACGCGTCTCTATCAAGCTTCCAGGGAAACTGTTTTCAATTTGCTCAAAGAAAAAAACCTCCGCTTCCAGGATAAGTGCCCCCTACATGTCTAATTCTGCAGGTAGCCTGGCTCCAAAGGACACCAGACAGATTCAAAGGAACCCAAAAGCAGAAAACCAGAGGTTGTTGGCCTGGAGGACAAACAGGTCCGGCACATCGCGGGACTAAAAGGATGGCCTGACCTCGCCCCGCCGGGCCCGCCCCTTCGGCCCCGCCCCACTGCGCACGCGCGCGCGCAGTTTCCTGCAGGCCCGGAAGCGGATCGTGCGGAGCAACCGGCACGCTCGGGTCAGTGAGTCTGTTTTTCTGTTTCATACCTGCGTTTAGCGATCGTCAAGCCCCCATCCTCCAAACCCTGGTTCGGGGGTCGCTGCCTAAGTTAAGCTCTCTGAACCCGCTCGTCCCTCTGGCTGTGAGTTCGCCCCTCTCGCCTCTCGCGGCGTCTCCATATGACGCGCCGAGTCCTGTGGCTCCGCGCGGGTCCGGGAGTCGCGTCCGTTTCCGGTTAAAATCGCTCCGAGGCAGGTGCCGCCCGACCTTTCTTTCTTCGTTCCACGGAGACACCGACCGGCTGCCGCGTCGTTTTCCTGCTCAAATCCTTTGTCTGACGCCCGACTCCCCGCCCAACCGCGTGATAAAGGCCTCGCTCAGGAGGTGGGTACAAGCCCTTCGTCCCCTCCAGGGAGAGCAGAGGGGGACAGGGATGGGGAGAAAGAGGCAGAAATATATGGAGTTAGAGGGTCACCAGAAAGTTTAGGGAGAAAGAATACCAGGCGTTGAAACAGAGGTTGCAGCAGAGGGGTGCCAACACTCTAGGAGGAGGAGGAGGAATAGAGAGGGAGGGAAACAAAAGGATGCGGAGAAACAGGGAGAAACGCGGAAATGGACAAAGCAGAGGAGAGAACCGGAAGGAAAGAGACAAATACAGAGAACAAAACACAGTGGTGAAGAAAGTCAGGGACCCAAACCCAAGAAATATTGAGTTGATTGGATATGGGATATTAGGTTGTGAAGTAGAACTGATTTGTGGCTGTGTAACCTAATTAATTTCAGATTTGTTGAACGGTTTAAACCATGCAGAAGAGAGTGAGAGTTACAAAACCAGGTGTTTGCGACATCTGCACTTTCTACTTATTGCACCAGAAGACAATTCCATTTGCAGCCCCTGTGCACCCTGAGGGCAGAGACTTAGCTCAGCCAATTCCAGGTCACCCTCTTCCCTTTCAAGAAATGGGGGAGGACTTTCTGTCACCTGTGGCTCATCTCATCCTTTTCTAAATGTGATGTGTCCTCACACTTGTTTTAACTTTAATATTTTTAATTTCCAAAATGTTATCCCTCTTAATTTTATCGTTCAGATGATGATGTTTGTATGCATTCTACTCTATTATATTGGAACTATTCTTTGATATCTGTAAATACCCACAGTATTTCACTATGCATCTGGTAAGGATGTTGATAATCTTTTAACACTGTAAACCTTGTTTAACCAGTTAGTTTTATAGTCAAGAGATTCTTTCTTCCCTGAAGTGATCTGTTAAATTAGTGACCTCTGAGCTGAAGTCTTCAACTAAGTAGATGTTCCTCTCAAGTTCTCTGTGTCTTTCTGTGCAGACGCTGAAGGATGGGCTGGATGAATGTAAAACTTTGTTCCAACAGAGCCCGTCTGTTCATGGTGAACAGATTGCTCAGAGCTCAGCTCCAGGTGACTCTCTTTCCTGTTTTCCAAGACTAATAACTGTTTGTAAGTTCATTTTGTAAATATTTTTCTGGAAAACAGGAAGTAAATGCTTGGGTTTGGTTAAAGCCATGAAAGAGAAGCTTCTCTTGCTCAGGAATATGTAAAGGAATCTGGAATTAGAGCAGACCCTTTCTACTGCCCTCTCCAGGCCACCACTTACACCCAGGTCTGCTCACTGAACTCAGCCCTCTGCAGGGTAACTTGGTAAACTTACTCCCCCTTTGAGCCTCGGTGCACCCACCTGTAACATGGAGATGATAGAGCAGACCAGGAATTCTGAGTCTGAGCAAATGGGAGCCCTGGAATGATGTTCAAAAGTGGGCATGTGTCTACATTTGGTAGTTTTCTGGGAGAGGGTGCCAGTTAGAATTAGAATTTGGAATGTGACCCAGTCCTCCAAAAAGAATGAAAACCACTAAGAAAAAGGCAGGGACAGAGGCTCAGAGACAGAGGCATGCCTCTCTTTCAGCTTCACTCTGCCTCCCTGTGTTTCATGGGTAAATTTTAAGTTTGATTGTGTCATCTCCTGGCATTAAGCCCTGTTATGGTTCCTCCTGGTCCTCAGGACAAACATCTCAACTCCTCAGTTTATCTATAGCAGGGAGCTCTGGAGCTGGGTGGCCCTTAGAGTTGGTCCAAATTGAGGGAAGGGACAGGCTTCTGTCCCCTGCATCATCCAGGCATTGGATGCTGGCTGCCTATGGAAGAGCCAAGATTTTGGAAAGGCAGTTTCCGGCCACTTTGTGCCAACTGGACAAGGACAGTGCAGTTGCAGCAGAGTGTGTGGGTTTCAGCAGGAGGGGAGGGCTTTCTGAAGAAATGGGTGAAAACTCACTTCTTGGTCCCTATATGGAGTTTACTGTCCCTGCATCCCTCCTGTTGCAGTGGGCAGCAAAGGGCCCTCTTTCCGCTGTGTTAAGGTTCTCCCTGTTTGTGTACTTGTGGCAGAGGAAGGGGGTGTGTTGATTCTAAGCATTGAACATGTTTTTGTCATACAGAATAATCTAAGCTGAGAATCCCAGAGGAAGAGGAAGGAAAGAAGGAATGGCTCTTTCCAAGGTAAAAGTTGTATTCTTAATGGATTGTTCTGTTTTCTCCTTCCTAAAATGCCTCATTTTAGTTTGTAATCTTCTCTGTCTCTGAAGGGTCCTACCTAAAATGTTGACTTAGTGTTGTTCAGGTCACAGTACTCCCCAAAGTACTACTAAGATTCAGTGCAATCCCCATTAGAATCCCAACAGCCGTTTTTGCACAAATAGGAAACCCAGTTTTAAACTTTATATTGAATTGGTAAGGATCCCAAATAACCAAAATAATGGTGAAAAAGAACAAAGTTGGAGGACTTGTAATTCCCACTGTCAAACCTTACTACACACCTAGAGTAATCAAAACTGTGGTTCCTGCATGAGGATAGAAATAGAAATCAAAGCGATAGAACTGAGAGTCCACACATAATCCCATACATCTGTAGTCAATTGCTTTTTCACAAGACTGCCAAAACTTTCACTGGGAGACCAGTCTCTTAAATGGTGCTGGGACCACTGCATATCCACAGGAAAAAGAATGAAATTGAACCTCTGTCTTTCCCCATATAAAAAAATAATTCAAAATGAACCAAAGACTAAATGTAAGACCTAAAACTAAAAAACCATTAGATGAATCGATGGAGGCAAATCTTCCTGACCTTGGATTTGGCAGCGCATTTTTAGATATGATCCCAAGAGGAAGGAGAGAAAACAAAATAGGTAAATTTGTCTCCATTAAAATAGAAAATGTTGGTGCACTGAAGGATGCTGTCACCTAAGTGAGAACCCAATCTATCAAATGGGAGAAAATGCGAATCACATATCTGGTCAGGATCTAGTGTCCAGAGTATATGAAGAACTCTACAACTCAACAACCAAAATACAAAGAACTCAATTAAAAAATGACCAAAGGATTTTAATAGATGTTTCTCTATAGAAGATGGACAATGGCCAATAAGCACATGAAAAGATGTTCAATGAAATTAGTCGTCAGGAAAATGCAAAATCAAAGCCACAATAAAATATAGTTTCACACCCACTAAGATGAGTATAAGAAAACAGAAAATAACTAGTGTTGGTGAGGATGTGTAGATATTAGAATCCTGATACCTTGCTGGAAAATGTCACTACTGTGGAATACAGTGTGGAGATCCTTATAAAAATAAGCCACATAACCCAGTAATTCCTCTGCTAGGTATATACTCAAAAAAACTGAAAACAGATATGCAAACACATGTTCAAAGCAATACTGTCAACATTAGCCAAGAGGTGGTGACAGCTCAAATGTCAACAAAAGGATGCGTGAATGAATAAAATGTGGTATAGTCATAGAATGAAATTATTCAACCACAAAAAGGAGTGTAGTCCTGTTACATACTACACCGTGGATGAACCACAAGTAGTATTCTAAGTGAAAGAAGCCAGACACAAAAGATCACACATTGCATGCCGTTCCATTGATATGAAAATATCTAGAATAGGTAAATCCATAGAGACAGAAAGCACATTAGTGATTACCAGGGACTGGGGAGAGGGAAATGGGACCAACTGCTTAATGGGTAATGGATTTCCTTTGCGATGATAAAGATGTTTTTGACCTACGTAGAGGTGATGTTTCTACAACATTGTGAATGTACTAAATGCCACTGAATGTGTAGTCTAAAATTGCCAACTTTATATTATGTGAATTTCACCTCACTTAAAAAAAAATCAGAGAAATAAACTTGTTCAAAATTATCTTACATGGGGCTGGCCCAGTGGCGCAGCGGTTAAGTGCACACTTCTGCTTCTGCAGCCCGGGGTTGACTGGTTTGGATCCTGGGTGCCGACATGGTACTGCTTGGCAAGCCATGCTGTGGCAGGCGTCCCACATATAAAGTAGAGGAAGATGGGCACGGATGTTAGCTCAGGGCCAGTCTTCCTCAGCAAAAAGAGGAGGATGGGCAGCAGATGTTAGCTCAGGGCTAGTCTTCCTAAAAAAAAAAAAAAAATTTATCTTACATGGATCTGTGAGAGCACTCACTGCAGCCAAGTCAGACCTTACACATGTCTGCTTCTCTCATTTTGTGTCACGATAAGAGCCCTCTCCCTGTCCAAGTGGTGAAATGTGCTTTCCTTTCAGGGACAGTTGACGTTCAGGGACGTGGCCATCGAATTCTCTCAGGAGGAGTGGGAAAGCCTGGACCCCGCTCAGAGGGCCTTGTACAGGGACGTGATGCTGGAGAACTACAGGAACCTGCTCTCCCTGGGTGAGGAGAGCTGCCCTCCAGAAATTGGTAACTACTGTTGTACATCCTTGCGTTTTCCCTTGTGAGTCTCCTGGGAGCCCCGGACTTGCTTGTCTGAGTTTCAAAATCCCTGTTCTTAAGAGAGTGATTGAAGCTGTTTTCATTCAGGATGGAAAGCCTTCATAATGTGGCATATGGACTCTAAATTCCCCTTTCTTCAAAAGTTCTACCTGTTTTGTGCTTTGATTAGTGGCGGTTTCAGAACATTAGTAGTCAGAGAACCTTCTGGAAAATTTTAAAAATATCTGATTCTGTGTTTTTACCCTTGTGCATTTCATCCAGTAGTTCTTGGAGAGAGCTAGATACCTGCGTGCTGGAAATAACCCCTTAGCGTTCAGAAGGAGGCAGTCAGTTGACTGATTGTTGAAATACTCTTCTAGACCCATCTATAATGTCCTCTCTTCTTAGC